CAAACAATAATTTATTTATATTAGGTTCAAAATGTTGCAAACTGTTGGAGATCGAATTAGATTAACGCGTTTTCCATATTTTATTATGAAATATCAGTTTTTTTTAGACAATGTTTCCAAGTATCGTGACCGTCTTTTGCATACGTGTAAGTCGTTCACTGGAGAACAACAGAAAATTTAATTGCCCATCTTCAAGGAGTATTAAACGTAGCTAATGAAGAAATACTACTCTTGCAAGATTCGTAAATATTATTGGACCGTGGCCAAATGCTTGCTAACTAAAACGTTTTTAAATCTGGTGAAGTCCTGTGGAAACATTTTTATCTAATCGGTTACAAATTTAAATGCTATTTTCTAACTGCTATATAATTAAATTTACAAAAGGGGAAATTACCTCAATGAAAAGTCTTAAATGTAGTTAAACTTAAGCTTTACTTCTTGGTTAAGTCTGTAGGTTTTACATGCTGTTAGATAATTAAATTTATCAAAGAGGAGAATATCTGAGATAAAGCGTTTTAATACCTCGTCCACCTTAATCGTCAACAAATCAACCATATCTTTAGATTTGACTTGCTAGTTCCCAGATTGTTAAATGTGATAAGTAAGAACTACTAGCGATAAAGGATTAAACTAAATCAAAACTCTATAACCCGAGCGTTTTCGAAAGGCGGACCTTCCTTCTTCAGGGGCAAACTGGGAAGAAGAAAGGTCTACCTTTCGAAAGCACTCGGGTTATAAGGTTTTATTCATTTCTATCAAGGCTTCTTGAACCTACGTGTTTTTGCTAACATCATGACTGAATTAAAACTGTTATCCTTACAAGCGTTTAAGGCCTTTAAGTATTATTTCACTTACTAATCATCAAAAAATTAGACTAACAAAGACGAAACAAGCGGAAGGAAAGAAATACATCTAACTTCTTAAACCTAGTTTAGTCCTTAGTGTATTTTACTTGCTTGTCGTTAGAAGATGTCTCACCAGAGGAAATGCTGGATGCAAAAATTAGACTAAGTTCTTTGCGAAGTTTGCATATTGGTTATCAGATAATGTGACTTACAAACAAGGTAAGCCACTGGAAAGGTAAGGATAAAATTAATACCACATTTAAACTCTTACAACTGAGTTTGACCTTGGACTGGGTGACGCTACTGTCAATAGAATAGAGTTTAGCTAGGTTCAAATTAAGCTCCTCACATCCGGATGTGTTGCGATTTTCCTTATAGAAAACCATGCTGTGTATTTGGAATTGTACCTCAATTCATCTTAGTATTCTACACAGGTTTGGTCTTTGGTTTAGTGAACATTAGAACTTTACTGTTATCTGAATACAAGAATACATCAGTTACAATCATGAAGATAATAATAATGAACATTATAACTTTACTGTTATCTGAATACAAGAATACATCAGTTACAATCATGAAGATAATAATAATGAACATTATAACTTTACTGTTATCTGAATACA